CTTAATTTCACACATATTTTTTCTCATCTTTTTTAAATATTTCTCAAATTTTTTAACCAAACACCACGTAAGAGAAGAAAATAGATTGCGAGAGTTCAAACCCTGACCCAAACATGATTGAATTGTCAAACAACTAGACTCAAAGTTGTAAATAGAATTTTTTTTCTACAGCAAATATTATATTCTAATCTAGCTTAAATATGACAAAAACAGAGGAGATGTTAATAATTAAATTCCTTGTTTGGGGATTTAAGATTTTGTCAAAAAGTTAGTATAAATTATCATATCACTCTCTCTATTTGTTTGCATATTTTTTAATAAAAAACCAAAAAACTAACTAAATAGCTAATTCTCAAAAGAAGTATTAGAATCTTATCCGCTAGATCAATTCAGTTGCTTAAAGTGGCATAATCAGATTTTGTTTTAAGTTTAAATTTATAGTAAAAAAATATAGGGAGAAAATATAATATATAAAAAAAGAAAAGAAAAATTAATGATAAACTTGTTTGATTTGAATTTTCTAAATTCATTTTTTTTAAATTTAAAACATTTTATTTTCCATCTTTTTTTAGTTTCACTAATTTTTTTTTTTAATATTTTAAGGGATTTTTTTTTTAAGTTTTAGACACACCTAACATAAATACACTTAAAAAATATAATATTTATGAAAAAAATCTTTAAAAAATTCACTAAATATCAAAAATATATATATGAAAATTCAATATATTTTTCCTACTTTTGTGTATTTATTAATTTTTTAAAATATTTTTTTTATAAATATTTTACTTTTTAGATACATCTAAGTAAGATGCATTTAAAAAAATAAAAAAATTATTTAAAATTTTAATAAATTAAATTCAGAAATTAAAATTTTATTTTTCTCTTCACAGATCAAATATCAAATCTAAAATAAATAAATAAATAGACCTATGGGAAGTAGAAATGGACAGAATTGATGAAAAGAAAGTTTACCGACCGCGGACTAAAGAGTGTACACGTAACACACGGTCAGTTTATGTTCCTGCCTGGAAATAGCTCAAAGTCGGTAAGAGAAAAGGACTCGCGTTGACAAAAACACACACAAGAGATTTTGTGATACTAATAAGGGGCCCACTATTAACATTAAAACATGTGTGATAATTACGAGAAGTTATTCTATTGTCTGACATATCACACCACCACCCCCAAATTAGGAATTTCTTCTTGCATTATTTTTAAGTTTAATTTTGATAATTTAAATTGTTTATATTTTAAGATTTGTTCAATATATTATACCTGTAAAAAATCAAGTTAATCGAATATCAGAAAGCATATGTTCAAAAAAATCGAACTAAAAACTATATTTTTAAAGAATTTAATAAACAGTTTTCCGAATACATACTTTCTGATATCCGATCAACTTGATTTTTTATAAGTATGATATACTAAATAAATCTTAAAATATGAACGGTTCAAATTATTAAAATTGAGCCTAAAAGTGGGCTCGAAAACCCTACAAACAAAAAATGTAAGGAAAAAGAGGAGATATTGACTCCCCCAACCCAAAAAAAAAAAAAAAAAAAAAAAAAAAAAAAAAAAAATTGTGCTTGACTAATAATAATTGAATAATAATGTTAAATATTTCAAAAAGTTGACTACAGTATTAAATTTTTATCAAAAATTATTCTCTCGGTTTGACAAATCATATCAATAATGTACTCCGTCAATAACAATAATAAAATAGAGAAAAAGAGTTCTAATACATTGACGGAGAATTTTAGGATGTACACTTTTATATGTACTTTTAATCATATCATATTTTTTTTGGTTATTTTTTTAAGTTATAATATTATTTAGTAATATTTAGTTATTAATCTTTTTTTAAATTATAACTCAAAAAATATATAATTATCTTATTTTCTTCTTTAGTTATACATGCCTAATTTGGAAAATTTGTTAAAAGTTACTTCTCAGCTTTTAATCCACTTCTTTTCTCATAAATAAATAAAAAATTCAAAATTTTAAAAAATTAATTTTTAACCATTTTCTCAAAACACTTCACAATACATATGGTGCACACCTTTTAAAATGTGTATACCATAATCTTTCTCTAGACACATTTTAAAAACTTTGCTAATGATTACTATTTTTTTTATTAAAACTATTAACTTAAAATATGAGCGTCACCTAATGTGTGATGATTTAGAGCTCTATAGTTGGGGTTCTAAATCTAACTCTAGTGACGTGGAAAATTAAAAAAATAAAACAAAAAAAAATAAAAATATAATATGGGGTTCTAAATCTAGCTCTAGTGATGTGGAAAATTAAAAAAATAAAACAAAAAAAAATAAAAATATAATATTAAAATATTACATCACATAAGATTCGCCATTAATTAGAGTTCACAAATTGAAAATGGAACCTACTAAATAATTTATGGACACGTAGGTCGGGACAAACAACTTTTTAAATCTTTTGCAGCCTCTTAGGCCATGTTTGTTTGGGTGGACATGAGTTTGGGATTGGACTAATAGTCTAATAAAATTATTAATCCGATGTTTGGTTAAACAATTAAAGTACAGATTAATTATTTTAAACTTGATTATTAGTTAAGATATGATACATAATTCAACGGATTGGTAGTCCTAGGGCTATTAGTTATGAAAATGCTAATCCAGTCACAAATTAAAAATGGAACCTACTGAATAATTTATGGACACGTAGTTCGGGACAAACAACTTTTTAAATCTTTTGCAGCCTCTTAGGCCATGTTTGTTTGGGTGGACATGAGCTTCGGATTGGACTAATAGTCCAATAAAATTATTAATCCGATGTTTGGTTAAACAATTAAAGTACGGATTAATTATAGTACGGATTAATTATTTTAAACTTGATTATTAGTTAAGATAAGATACATAATTCAACGGATTGGTAGTCCTAGGACTATTAGTTATGAAAATGCTAATTCAGTTCACCCAAACAAACATGACCTTAGTGTACAACGTGGCGACTTCGGAGAGTTGGGTCAACTCCGTCGGCCGCCGCAAGTTTCCATCTATGGATGCCCATCGCCCCCACCTCTTCTTCTTCACTACACGACATTCCATTAATTTCTCATCACATTGCAAATTTCTCATTTCTCTCCTCTTAATTTTTTTTAATGAAATTCAATTTTAAAATCAAGCATAATTATTATTTTATATAAAATAAAATTTATAAAACTCACAACGCTCATGGTAATTCATTTTAGTGACACTTAATTTTACTAATCACTTAATTATTAATTTATAAGAAAAAGATCTCCTATAAATTTTTATGTACATGACAAAATTCTGTTTATGTGAGATTATACATTGTCTTAATTTATAAAGATGATACATCTGTTTTACAATTAGAATTTTTTTAACTCGAACAATGTAGTGTTAAATTGAAATATTTTATCTTATTTAAAAATGTTATATAATTTTCTTGTATGACGTTTTATATAATTTTTTTCTATAAATGTATATAATTTCATTGTCAAATTAAAAATTCATCTAATTTGTGAACACTTATTCCTTTTATGTATTGGAAATATCATATAACTAAGACATTGAGAAAATAATTACAAATTAAAAAAGAGAATAAAATATCAAACATACGTTAAGTGTAAGTGACAATTGTTAGCCACGCCTCTCGCACTGTAGATGTGGGTGTCGGTAAAGGCTTATACGTCATTTTCATCTCTCTTATACGAAGTTTTTCACTTTTATGTTGGTGAAATATTTGATTGAAAATGCTATTTATAAATCTCGAATGTATTTTAAATAAGAGTTGTGAGGTTGAGATTGAATTTATGTAGTGTAGAGTCCGTGTATAGAATAAATCTGAATCATAAAATGATTATTCTGAGTAATTTCTAGATAGCTATTTCTGGATTTATAATATTACTGTATTTGATTTGGATTATAATTACAATGGCTAATTATGAGTGTTCCTCGCGATGATAAAATATCCCTATCTGTCAAGTTCTCAACTTTTCTCGACTCTAATGGAATGGGTTCGAAGATGGTTGAATACGATGGATTCAGGTCAGGGTGACGAAGAGTATTTTAGTTATATATATAATATAACTTTAATATATGTACACTATATAATAATTTGTTTTAATTATAAATAGCATTTTTTAGTTTTAATTATTAAATTTTAATAATATTGTTAAATTTTTGATTGTGTTGCAAATCGGGTAGGGTCAGGGTAGGAGTTATATTTGCGAATTTGAGTGGGAGTGGGAGAAAGTTTCATGAGGGTCAGATCAGAGGTGGGACAAGCGATGAAAAACTAAATATAAAAAAAATCAAAAAAGTAATTTGCTTATTTAGTTTCACTTTTCAGGATTTACTTTTTAAAAAAAAATTATTTTTTGTATTTTTTTAATTTTCACTAAATTTTTTAATATTTTAAGAGTTTTTTTAATTTTTAGATACACTTAACATAAATACAATTAAAAAATATAATATTGGTGAATTTTTTTAAAAAAAAATCACTAAATACCAAAAATAAAAAAAATACAAAAGTCTGGATTCAAAATAAATTGTCCCATTATGCTTCTCCATAAATGTCCGTGCGAACTAAACTCAAAAAGTCAGAACTCCTACAAAGCGAGTCCAGATTCCCTCCTTGAGCCCCTCCTTCATTCCCTCCTTGCAGGGGCCTTCGGGTCCACTTTGAGGCCTAGTTTTGATAATCCGAACCGTTCATATTTTTAGATTTATTCAGTATATTATACCTGTAAAAAATCAAGGTGATCGGATATCAGAAAGTATGCGTTCAGAAAATTGGGACTACAAACTATTTTTTAATAAACAGTTTTCCGAACACATACTTTATGATATTCGATCAATTTGATTTTTTATAGGTATGATATACTGAATAAATCTAAAAATATAAATGATTCGAATTATCAAAACTGAGCCTCAAAGTGGACCCGAAGCCCCCTACAAGGAGGGAATGAAGGAGGGGCCTCAAGGGGAGGATCCCAATTCCTACAAAGCCACCCCTTGTATTATTCAATGATAGGACTAGATTCTCCAAGTCTTATTTTCACATTTCATTTACACAAAACAAAACAAACACCAACCAACCCTCCTCCCTCCTCCTTCCTCCACCACTGGCCGCCATGTCAGCCGAACCCATTTTCCGGGAAAATCCCAGCCGGAAAATCCTCTTCCTCCTCTCCTTCCTCTCTCTCATTTCTCTCTCCAAAACCAACGACCTCCAATCCCTTCTCAAATTCAAAACCTCACTACTAAATTCAAACACAAATGTATTCAATACATGGACTCCAAATCAAAACTCATTCTGCAACTTCACTGGAATCACTTGCAACTCCGACCAAACTGTCAAAGAAATCAATCTCTCTCAACAAAATTTATCTGGAACTCTTCCTCTCGACGCAATTTGCTCTCTTCAATCCATTGAAAAACTCTCTCTGGGTTCGAATTCATTGTATGGAATTGTTACTGAAGAATTGTCGAATTGCACTAAATTACAGTACTTGGATTTGGGTATGAATTCATTCGCCGGAATATTCCCGGACTTGTCTTCTTTAACCCAACTCAAGTTCTTGAATTTGAACCACAGTGGATTTTCCGGCCAGTTTCCATGGAAATCGCTGGAAAATCTTACTAGTCTTGAATTCTTGAGCCTCGGTGACAACCCATTTGATTGGCGTCCATTTCCTCTGGAGATTTTAAATCTTCACAAATTGTATCGGGTCTACCTCACAAACTCTAGTCTTCAAGGAGAAATTCCTGAAGGAATTGGAAACCTCACTCTGCTTCAAAATCTTGAGCTTTCCTATAACCAACTTTCAGGGAAAATCCCAGAGGGAATCACAAAACTGAAGAACCTCTGGCAGCTCGAGCTTTATTCAAATCAGCTCTCGGGAAAATTTCCAAATGGGTTCGGAAACCTCACAAATTTGATCAATTTCGACGCTTCGACTAACAGTCTTGAAGGAGACATCTCTGAGACCAAATATTTGACAAAGCTAGTCTCATTGCAGCTATTCGAAAACAAATTCTCGGGTGAAATTCCGATTGAATTGGGAGAATTCAAGTCCCTCACAAACCTCTCTCTGTACACCAACAAGCTCACAGGCTCAATTCCTCCGAACATTGGATCGTATGGCAACTTCACATACATCGACGTTTCGGAGAACTTTCTGACGGGTTCTATACCGCCTAACATGTGCAAAAATGGCAAAATGAGTGAGCTTCTCATGCTTCCGGGTTCTATACCGCCTAACATGTGCAAAAATGGCAAAATGAGTGAGCTTCTCATGCTTCAGAACAAGTTCACCGGTGGGTTACCGGAAAACTATGCGAATTGCTTGTCGTTGAATCGTTTACGAGTAAACAACAATTCACTTTCATTAAAAGAGTTTTAATTTGACTTGATTTAGTAGCCGAATTTATCAATCATTGATCTCACTATGAACCAGTTTGAAGGTCCATTGTCCAACAATGTCGGCGAGGCCAAGTCTTTAGCACAGCTCTTTCTTTCGCACAATCAATTTTCCGGTGAATTACCAGCCACAATCTCGGAATCTACCTCTTTAGTGGACATTGAGCTGGGTTCGAATCAATTTTCTGGTGAAATTCCGGCAACAATTGGCAATTTGAAGAAACTGAGCAATCTTCATTTAGAAAACAACTTGTTTTCTGGTACTATTCCAGAGTCTTTAGGCTCGTGTGTTTCTCTAAGTGACATAAACCTCGCTGGAAATTTGTTTTCCGGCAAGATTCCGGCCAGTATTGGTTCTTTAAGGAGCCTGAACTCCTTAAATCTGTCGCACAACGAACTTTCCGGGGAAATTCCAGTGAGTTTATCCTCGCTAAAACTTAGCATTCTTGATTTGTCAAACAATAGGTTGATGGGTCGTATACCGGATTCTTTATCGATTGAAGCATTTGTCGGTGGCTTTGCTGGAAACCCGGGGCTTTGTGGTGACAATATGAGGAATCTCCAGCCATGTTCGTCAGATTCCGGCAAGTCCAGCAATGTTCGGACGGTTATATCTTGCTTTGTAGCTGGGGCAGCTGTCTTGTTTGTGTCACTTGCATGTTTCATGTATGTTAAGTATAAATATAAGCCGGAAAATCACGACCTTCCGATCAAACGATACAGTTCTTTGGATATGAAACAATTCCATATGTTGAGCTTCACTGAAGAGGAAGTCATGAATGCAATCAAAAAGGAAAATTTGATTGGCAAAGGTGGGTCAGGAAATGTGTACAAAGTCATGCTAAGCAATGGCAAACAATTGGCTGTTAAACATATTTGGAAGTCAGATTCCGGTGACCGGAGAAGCTGCCGGAGCAGCTCAGCGATGATTCCTAAGGGAAATCTTCGGTCACTGGAATATGATGCCGAGGTGGCCACGTTGAGCTCGATTAGGCATGTGAATGTAGTGAAATTATATTGTTGCATCACAAGCGAGGACTGGAATCTATTGGTTTACGAGTACCAGCCCAATGGGAGTTTGTGGGACAGGTTGCACACATGTCAGAAGATCCAGATGGATTGGGAGGTGCGGTACGAGATTGCAGTGGGGGCTGCCAAAGGGCTTGAGTACTTGCATCATGGGTGTGATAGGCCAGTGATTCACCGAGATGTGAAAACAAGCAACATCTTGTTGGATGAGCAATTGAAGCCCAAGATTGCAGATTTTGGCCTAGCAAAAGTTGTGCAGCCAAATGGAGTTTGGGATTCTACCCACATTATTGCAGGGACTCATGGTTACATAGCTCCAGGTTAGCTTTTATTTCCATGTACATGCTATTTTCAGTGATAAAGTTTAGTTGCTGTTGTGAATGTCTCATACTTTACCAGGTTCATGCACATGACCTGTTAGCGACCTGCTCAAACCGATTAATGTCTAACTCAGTTCTTGTTGTATTCAAATTTTAATATATTATAGCTTATTTCGGGGAATAGGGTTACGTGAGTAAAGCAAACTCTTGTTATAGATGACTTAGAAAAGAGACAGCCGCTTATTGTATTTTCTCCTATTTTAATAGCCAAAACCTTTTGTCATTCTTCGCCCATGGACATGCGATGTATATCTTGTATTCTTGTGTAATTACCCTGTTTTACTTTCTCATTTTTGTTTGTCTGTCATAATAGTTGCATTCTTACTTTCCAGAAGTGCTTCAGTGTTTTGAAATCACAATAGGCGGTTCTAAATTTTCTTTACTTGTTGCAATGAAACTGATTGTTGTGCCTTGTTTTGGTTTTGAAGAATACGCATACACAAGCAAGGTGAACGAGAAGAGTGATGTATATAGCTTTGGGGTGGTGCTGATGGAACTAGTGACAGGAAAGAGGCCTGTTGAGCCAGAGTTCGGAGAGAACAAAGACATAGTCCAGTGGGTGTGCGGAGAGATGAGAAGAAAAGACAGCTCGATTCATTTGGTGGACGCAGCCATCTCAAAGGCCATGAAGGAAGACGCTGCCAGGGTGTTGAGAATTGCAGTTCATTGCACAATGAAGACTCCGGCACTGAGGCCTTCCATGAGGATGGTAGTGCAGATGTTGGAAGAGGCCGAGCCTTGTAATTTGACAGGCATAATTGTCAATAAAGACGGTGAAAACAGTAAGAGCTGAGGAATTGAAGCACAATAGCAAGTTCAATGACAGAGATTCACTTGGAGGAGTAGGTCTTAATCTGGGGACCAACAAGTCTCTTAGTGGTTATAGCACAGTAGACAATTCAAGTGAAGATCAGAGTTACATTGCAGGCCTCAATTTGTCGTCAGTAGATCAACAAGAAGTCTATTAGCTTGTATGATCAGATTGTAATGTTTATTTGGTAAGAAATTCAAATGCCAAGCTTGCTAGTTTAGCTCTTCTTAGCCTGTAAGAGAGTGAAGCAGAGAGAGACGTATGTAATGATATGAGACAATTTTTTTTATTCCACTCATTTGTAGGTGATGAACCACTTAATATAAAAGGAATAATTTGAGTTTTTTCTTTTGAAAACATGGAAAACATTTATATGAAAACAACAATAACATACAGAAATAAGACTCCAAGGGCCATACAAACTTAATAACAACAAAAAGAAAAAAACAAACAACAAAAATAAAACAACAAATTCGCCAAAAAAAATAGTTGCAATCCTGGAAAAACCACCAATCTTCTCAAAGATGTGGTCTAGAAAGCAAGATTTGCTTGAAAGCATGCTGTCCCTGTCGACGTCGTCCCCGTCACTGCTACCCAACTCCACTACCGTTGCCGCCGTACTTCGGATAACGCCAAAAGCTAGAGTTGAGAAAGAAGTACACCCACAATGGTATGGGAGAAGGCTTAAGAGAGGAGGGACTTCTTGTGAGTGTTAAAAATCCAAAAATCTACGCCAAAATCAGGGAAGAAAACTCTCAAACTCCTATTTCAGACATAAAAAGTTCAGATCTACACTCAAAAACTGTAGATCTATACTCTAGGAGTGTAGATCTACACTTTAGAAATGTAAAAGGAGTTGTCGGAGCACTGACGGAAATCTCCTAGAGAGAGAAGCTCTGCTCTCTCTCTGGAACTTTTTTTTTTTTTTTTAATAATTTGAGTTGATTATGCTACTTTGTATTGCTTGATTTGTCAAGTAATGGGAAATAATTTTTGAAAAAAAGGGGACCTCAGTGCCACCAGTGTATAGGCAAGGCAAGATGTACACAATCTTACCCAACATGATTAAGTCGTATTTATTACACATGAAGGCCTTTCTCCCTTTATGAGCAAATTGATTATGCAATAATGAGAAAGAGGGGATCAGGGTCCATTGGCTTTGATTCTTTTTGTGTCTTATCCCTTTCTCTTCAAAGTACAAGTCTTATACTTCAAGATTGGTAGAAGAATCAAGAAAATAGGATTCTTTAATTGTGAAGCTAGGACTGTGATTTCATCCAAGGAAATTCTTCCATTTTACCTGTTTCATCATGACTGACTTGAAAAATAAATCTAATTGGGCTTTTGGTTATCAAGCTAAACCATGACATAAAGAATGCTGTTAAAATCAATCACCTTTTAGAAGAATTGAATCTTCTAATATCATCTTATTTCTTTTAATTGCAGAAGCATTCTGATAAGTGTGCACACAACAGTCCTCAAGTGCATGGGGGTGGCTTTTATTTTTTGTCACCCATTTTATAAAAAAAAAAAAAAAATGTCAATATATTTTGTCAAATTTTCATTAATTATATCAATAGACTAAAAACGACTTCATTTACAATTTGATTAAGCAATTTTGTTTTAGCTTTATCTTCTTCCAAGTTAATTACATGCATAGTGAGCTTACTTCAAGAAGTTTAAAGCTACCATGTCTAAAGTCAAGATAACAGTATCTTGATTCTTTCTACATGTAAACACCACAAAATAATATATATATTTATATATATATCACAAAAAATACTGTTCAAGGGGGCAAAAACACAGAGTACATAACTTCATAAACTGAAATGATGCAGACTTAAAAGAATGAAACAATTTATTGCATGTCTTTGCATATGAATACACACATATACATTAGTTACCTCAACTATTACAAAGTTGCAGAGCGTTGTGTATGAAATGGAAAGTAAATAAATTTAAACAAGCAAATATAATTCAATAAAAGATTGAAGAAGAAGAAGATAACGACACTTCGCCTAAGCCACTTTCCTTGCGCAACATTTGGGTATGTGGATGTTGTGAAAATTTGGCTCCTTTGGAATGGTTAAAGGCCTTTTTCCCTGTGACACTGACCTGGAAGCAGAAGAAGTAGCAGCTTTATTTGCATGGCTAATATCACTATGGCTTGGCTCTCCTGCTTTCTCGGACCTTGAAGCTGTTGATGATATTTCCTTTATCACAGTGAGTTGTTTACCACAAGCCATTGCCTTCTTCGTTGCAGCAACCCTGAAAAAGTGTATAGCTAAATCAGTCTTCTGGAGAATTTTTCATAAATCGAGGATGAGATAACACTAAACCAAGAGTAGTACTCACCCTTTGGGACTAATAAACTGTTCATGCTGTGAAGATGACTTTGTCTTTCTTAAGCTGTTTTCTGATTTTTGACTAGTAACATCCCTGCCATAGTCAAGTCTGGAGGTTATTGGTTTAGGGTTTTGTTGTGTTGATTTGGAACATCTCTGTGGGGTTATAGTAGCTATTTTTGGATATGCTTGTCCTTCTGCCATAGTCAAGTCTGGAGGTTATTGGTTTAGGGTTTTGTTGTGTTGATTTGGAACATCTCTGTGGGGTTATAGTAGCTATTTTTGGATATGCTTGTCCTTCTGAAGCTGTTCGACTCTGTTTCTGCAAATTACAAGACAAAGAATTTTTTCAGGAAATCTCAAACTTTTGAACCTTACAATAACAACAGAGAGGAATTTAGAAGTGCATAAATAAGTAAACAACTGAAAATGACGATGACTTATGGGTTCATCCTTTTGATAATTTTTCTGTAATTCATTTCCACTGCTTTCATTTGTATCATGATTGCACTTTCTTTGTTTGAGGCACTTCTCATTTCCCTGTGATCAAATGCAAAATATCTTGCTTCAGTATTATTCATTACATGATAAATACAAGGAATAATCCCCACAAGAAAATGCTCACTTGGATTTCATTCGCATGCTTTTTGTGCAAACATCTGCTTGGGAGTGTTGAGGCTACTACAATTTCCTTATGAGGAACTAGTGCTTGCATTTTCCTCTCTAAGTTTGCTTCTACAATTTCCTTATGAGGAACTAGTGCTTGCATTGTCCTCTCCAAGTTTGCTTGCTTAAGAATTCCTCTCTCCTAAAAAATCATCAGTTCTATTAGATGTGACAAGCAAGAACATATTTTTTTGTACATATTTAATTTGGGAAAGACACGGCTTACATCAGTCCTTAGCCTGAAAGGCTTGGGATTTGTGGGTTTTGGTTTCTTATACTTCACCCCTTGAGAACCAGTTTGTTAAAATCCACCTACTCTCCACCTACTTCACCCACTTAAACCTACTCCACTAAACCTAACCCACTAACCCACTACACCACTACCACCTCCACTTCAACATTATGTTGGTCTTGAAACTTTATTTGTTTTCACTATAAAAATCTCTCTTGAGGTTTGGCCCATGTATGGAGATCTAGATATCAATATATATCAATCAATAATACATAAATTTTTACACAGTTGTATCTACAATGAGCCCTTCTTTCAATTTTTTGTCCTGTGTTTGGTTAACCTACATTAATTTCAAAAGTATAAGATAACCAAAATAATGAGATGATGGAACCATCTAATATGAAACAGAAAATTATATGTGATAAAGTTCTTGTTATTCTAGAACACGAGAAAAAGAAATAGAACCTTTTTAGTAATTTCATTTGGCTCCCGCTTGCAAAGTATTTTTCTTCCATAACTAGCCTCACACCTGTTACCATCAAAGGCCAAAGCATTTTCTTTGTCATCGCTGTCCACAGCTTCACATTCATTTCCTATTACTCCTAAATTTTCAGATTCAGTGTTGTGGTCTTCTGGGCTTTCTCTCTTCTCCGAACTTGCTTTTGTTTTTCCTTCCTTGTCAATTCCTTCACTGCTCTCATTGCCCCCTTCAGAGTTTTCTTCAAATTTGGGGAAATCATTTTCTTCCAAACTCCCTTCTTCAGAGTTTGATGAGGTGTTCATTTCGCCTCTTGAGGCATCTGACAACACCATGTCTGAATTCTTTGTTAGTGGCACTACCTCTAAGCAAGTAACGGCTTCTTCTCGAGTAGAATTTATGGCATCCAAATTTCCTGATGTTTTATCAGTTGACAACCATTCCTCACAAGCATTTCCTTCAGTAATCCTTGAACTACCTAATACCAAGCTGTCCCTTGATTTCATGTCAATCTCCGCTTAAGTCATTTTCAACCGTTTCCTTGGGCATAGAATTGCAAGGTTTATTTCCCTTCTTGATACATCTTAAAGATTTATTTCCCTTCTCCTTGCAATTTGGAGGCCTAAACAATTCCTTGGCCTTGCTTTTGTCCTTGTAAGCACTTAGTTTTCTTCTAGAAGGATTCAAAGGCAATGATTTGTCAGGATCGCGTCTAATGTCCTTCGATGATTTGTTAGAATACCCCAATATACGCTTCCTTTGACTGGTTATCTCAAGCCTCTTCATCCCTTCACAAATCTTCTTTAAAGGAGTACGCAATTCTGATGAAGTTTTTATGCTGATGACTTTCTTTGGGGACTGGAAAACCAAAGCCTTTGCTACTGTTCTATTTTTTGGTTCTGCAATGTTTGTTGGCTTCAGGTTCTGAACACTTCGAAAGGGGTTTGGATTGAGAAGGCAATTTTTGTTCCTGGTAGTAGTTAAGTACTTGGCCGCAACTTGCTTGACCCTAGGATTTGGGGTTGAACTGAGCTTGGAAAGAGGCTTATCTTTCCCTCTTGCATCACCCATTTTCTGAGAAAATGAAGAAATCACTGCTAATCTTGATATTCTAGACTTTGAAGGTTTTGCTGGAACTGAAACTGGGCATTTCTCATTCACACTAAAAGATCAAGTAAAGGGTGTTAGTGAAAATTAAAATTACATAGACCACAGAAATAAAATGATAAAAATTCGAATTCATCCATTTAAAAGCTTTTTTTTAGTACCTAGAAGCCTTTTTGTTTAGTGCTTTGTGAAGTCGGATACTGGGACTCCTGGCTGCCATGACCTGTTTGAATCAATGTGTCAAACTCTAGATTAACCTATCAACTACACCATTTAACAAAAAGGACAACATCTAACCAACCCGAAGAACAAAGCTTTTGGATATTGCTTCAGGGTCCATTTCTTCTTCATGCTTTTGATCACATCCTGTGACGTAATTGAAGAGATAAGAGTCACACAAGGTATTAAAGATTGCTTATTTGGAAAATAGTATATGCATATCCAAGCCAATGGTTGATATTTTCAG